TCTTCAAGAATGATGTAACTTTAAATGCTGATTTTGCTGGATATTAAGAGCCATTCATATTTATGAGAAAAGCGTTTGCACTGATGATTGGTGTCATCAAACGCTATCTGATGTGAATGGTATTTAATACATAAGAATTTCGCAATGCATGAGTAGTGTAAATCAAATGAGTGCAAAAATTGTTCTCGCAAGTACGTTTACATATTTATAGTATAATTTTTAATATATATATAGATATAGACTATATATATAGACTTAAGTTTTGTAAATTTATACGTTCGAAGTCATGCTGTAATTGTCCAAACTCACCTTATTTATATATCTGCGCTTTTCCGGACAATACTCTCTGAAAATTTGCTGACGATATGTTTTGCAACTAGTTTATAATTATTCATAATAAGGTTTTATAAGTTCCAAAACATTTCATCTTTGCATGCACATAGTTTTCATACATATGACTACAATATATTGTATTGAATATTTGAAATTTATTATTCACTTATGCATTACGATTCACTTAAATTATTTGTGATATGCACTCACAATATAAAATATTTAAATCGCACTGTGTGAAAATCGTGTGTTGTGTAGTTTGTATGTTTCATAGAAAATTATTTCTCAATTTACTACATAAATAAAATAGTTACTTGTTTTCGCAACCTACAATAGCTATTGTATTGATTATTTATTGATTACACTTGTATGGATTCTTTTAAGCATACTTTACAATGATCGATAACTGAAATTTTTAATGAAATGCGGATACTGGGTACAATTTTACCCTCTAGCAAAATATCATTACATAATATAGCTTGAGTCCATGTAAAAAATGAAAAAAGCAGATAGTGCCAGAATAAAAATATTGACATTGTTTTCCTATAAGCTACAATTACACACGAATGCCAAATATATCATTTCAATAACCTCGTCAGGTTTTACAACGATTAGCCTGAATTTTTCAATAAGTTTGTAATAAAGGAATAAATAATTTTATTTATTATATTATTATTTATTATTTAATTTATTGATTAATAAAGTAATTAATTTTATCTTTGACATTTTTCATTAAATAGCTGTAAATTGATAAATAATATTATTGCCTAATGAACGATGTTTTTGAAATGAAATTTATGCATTTACCTATTAATAATTTCTTATGCATATTTAAAGTTATTAAGCGTTATATGATGATATCCGATAGGATCATAGAAATTAAATATATCAATATTAATCCGTTAGATATGCAACTTTATTATATACCTTATTTTACCTTGCGGTTTATAAAAGTATATTGAAAACACTTTATTAATTTATCTTTCTATTGGGTAAGGTTGCTTAAGTCGTACCCTCAAAGGAAATAACGCTATTATACTTAGTGCAATTGAAGTGAAAAAGATTCTTTAAAATTTATTAAATATTGTTTTAGTTAGCCGAAATTACCGAAATTGTAATTTTTCAATTAATTAAGTATATTTACGTTTTGTACCATTAAGGCGTAGTCGTACCATCTGTAGTATTTGTTAAGTAATGTTATTTTTTCATTATTTTTTCGATTTATCATAAAAAGTTTAGAACGCATTCTATAATTCGATGCGATTAAGGAATTTTGTTGAAGGTACGACATAAGCAGCAAGGTCTTCGATGATTGAAATGACATAACCTAAACAAATCAACCATTTAAATATGCCTAAATGATTATTGAATTAGTCATATAAATGAATATTAGTAAGAAAAAAATGCTAGGATGGTATTCTTGCTATAATGCACTCACGATTGCGCCAAAAATTTTAGAAAGGACTTTACAAAAATATTATTAACTTCCGGTAGGGTAAGTTATATTAATCGCAAAAAAATCAAAAATGAAATTTTTTGCATATCATCACGTTTCTGAACATTTTGGCATACCTCAGAAAAAATGAATGTATGTGTATATTGTATTTTGTTCAGGAAATTGGACTGTTACTTAAGATTTAGTACCAATAAGCACAAAATATTTTTTTTTAAATTTTTCAAAAACATTTTTTTTTCTAAATTCTCAATTTTTAATTTTTTTTTAGTTCTCGAGTTTTTTTTAAAATTCAATTTTTTCAAAATTAAAAAAAAAGGTTATAAAATTGAAAATATAATGTGTTCAAAATTCTAAAAAAATATAAAAAAAAAATAGTTTAAAAAAAAACTCGAAATTTTCAAAACTACAATTTTTTTTTTCCAAATTCTCAAAAAACTTCTGTACACATTTCTGAATGAAATGTATATACACATACATATTTACGATATGCCTTTTATCTTGATGAATATTATATATAGTTCTTTGAAATATGAGAGTCCTACTCGTATGATGAATCATTCAAATAAGTGTTCAGTACCTTTCGTCGCTTTATATTGCGCCTAAAGCTTTTATATTGCGTCTATGTACAGCATTAATAACTAATATATTTGAAACTAATTCTAATAATTTTTTTAAACATTGATAAATATTTATTGATTTTTGATTATTTTTGTTTTTCGAACGTTTATTACGGTGCGGGAAGTTCCGCATTTGCATTAAGGCACGATGCTATTCACCACTAGTTTTTATTATGTATTTCACAAAGTCGTTCAGCATTCCAATATAAAGTTTGCTTACTCAACTAAATAGTTCTATTTAACGGTAGCAATGATGTAATTTATTTATTAGACTTAGGCAGTGGGTACGTCTTAAGCACCTTACTCTACAACCTTGTACAATTAGTTACCTATGTCAAACTGTTTCTTTAATTTTGAATTTTTGAATCACTATATGTAAAGTACTGATATTTAACAATTCAGTTTATTGTTTTCCAATAACAGCATGAGTTTGAGACGTTACAAGAAAAAATGAACGAATCAATTTTTTATATTATCACTCACCGGTGATTTGTCCTTTAACATCTTTGATATACTGTTATGCATGTAAAACACACGCACCTTGCATGTAATCAGTACTTGATATAAATCCAACGATGTACGAAGATTTTACCTTTACCAATTATAATGCAAAAAAAATCGAATAAAGCGCATTGATTACTAATCAAACATTAACAATAAAACCTAAAATATTTCCTACTGCTTGGGCCAATTTTAAAAAAGCTTTGTCGGTTAAAAATATGAATATGTGCGCTCTAGCGTGTTTCCTTAATTTGAAAAATGTCATACAGTATTTTTTGTAACATGCTATTGTGATTTTTATATGAACCGTGTTTTATATTTTATAGTAAACCACGCAAATGATCAATAAATTTCCGGATGATCAAATAAAATGCATTAGGTGCGAATATTATAGACGTTTCCATCATTTTAATGCAATTAAAATAAGTTATCATAGTCCATAGAGATTGTTCTGTTTGCTCTCAAACTTATAGATCAATAGCACTACATTAAATGTTGGAAACGAGTATTATTTTTGTGATATAATTTAAAAAACAAATCATATATTTTATTTAATTATATTTTTGTAAAACACGCTACAGCATAATAATATTATGTATTATCTTACAATGCAGGTAGCAAAATAGCTTTGTGATTGCAGCGATGATAGCAACTAAAGATAAATATTATATTAATAAAAATTATTGTTTAAAGCAAATGACATTTTGTAATGGCGTTAATATTTGAAATTTAGAACTGTTAGAACATATGTGGGATATTGTTGTTTATACGTTGTTATTAGTCTTGAAGGACAATGGACATAGACATATCTATTTCAGGCGTGTAACGTAATGGGGCTTTAAGAAAAATTCTACACTTTGTTGATAATATAAAGAAATGGCTGACAATATTATTCATATTGAATTATTGAATAAGAAACACATTCATACACAATCATAATTTTTCATTCACTAAAAGACTAGGTTTGTTGGTTTGTGTTTCATTTTCCAAGTCCAGTACAAAAAAATAAGTTTATATTTAGATATATAGGATGCCACGATTTATATGTCAAATACACAATTCATAAATGAATCAAAATGGAGATAACAAAACTCAAATAACAATTTCATAAATATAAACACTAATAATAGAATTAAAATTTAATTGTACAATGTTTTATTTAATGTTTCTTATATCAGGATTTAAAAGAAAAACACGTTCATATAAACAAGAAAATAAAACGAATGCATTATTGTTCAAGAATTTAATATAATAATATAATTTTAAATCAGCCAGAAATTTGAAAAAGTAAATACATATATATATTATATATATATATATTATATACATATATATATACATATACGCAGGTTCTGCATATATGTATATGTATAAATAAATACGAGTCGGATACGCTCGTATATCTTTATATCATTATTTGAAAGTGAACTGATATGCTTAACTTTTCTCCAAAATACAGAGACTTGGAAGAATGTGTACGCTATGTAAAAAAATGTGTGTAAAAAATTTTTTACACAATTTTTCTCCAACTCACTGTATTGGTAATATATATAATCAATATAGTTGCTACCAAAGTATTCAAAACACAGCTATATTATTGTTATAATTTTTATAGATATTTCTAAAACTTCAAATGATTAATATTAGTGAAATATTTAACGTGTTCTTTATGCTGTTTTTGTGTATCTTTATTATCTGCAAGTGTTGTAAAGAGTGCATAGTAATCAGAAGAGAAAACAAATAAATATATTACAAATTTATTATTTATATATCAACAAATTTAAAAATGATGGTATCGTAATGCGACTTTTGTGAACTAATATTTTATCAAATATTCAATATATAGAAAAATCGGGTGAATCAAAATTTGTTGAATCAAAATTTGTTTGGTAGATGGAAATTACATGTAATTTTTTATGCAACAAAAAGAAAAATTGTATATTATCAATTCCAGCTTTTCCAAGCAAATTTTGATATTGTGTTATTGTCAATGTTTTTTTTCTATTTTTTTTATTAAACCAATAAAGTGAGTGTTGAGTTTTTGCAATATTTTTACCGATTGTATTAAAATAATAATATTTAAATTATCCTACCTTGGCCGTATGATCTTTCTGCAGTTGAGATGTGATCGCGTAGGTTGAATTCCGCAGGACTTGGTGGAGGCGTTTTACCCACTTTTGGTGAGCCAACTTCTGTCGAAATAATAAAAAAACAACACTATTTAATGGCTTTAAATGAAAAATACATATTTTTAAATTAATTATGAATATAGCTTCAATAAGTGTCAGTTTGTGTGGTATCTGTATGCGCGTGCAATGATGATTATATTACTTATATAATTGTATTCAAAAATATATAATTCTCACCATCAGCAACGTCAGCTGTCGTAATCTTGTAGGTTGTAGTCTCCAATTTTCCGAGACTTTCAGTAACTCCTTCCAACAACGCGGAATCTCTTCTCTGGTCGCTGGGTGATGTTGATCGTTTTGGGTCGTAATCTGTATAAAACAAATTGACAACATTCATTCAAAAATATTCTCATATTAACTAGTTTTGTAGAATATTATAATATATCAACCTTTTGTTTTGTCGTTATCGTCTCTACTTTTGGTGCTTTGGTATCCGTAGTTATTTCTTTAATTGTGGTGGTAACTAATATTTGTTCGGCGCGTTTTGCGGAAGTGTCGATCTTTTCTTTCTGTGCCGATAATTTTGCTTCTAAATCGCTATCAAGTGGCACAGGGATACCTGTTTTGGTTGTACTTTTAACTATTTCTATATGTTTCTCTGATGGATCAGTCTTACTAGACTCTGTTACACGAGTCGTTACTGTGGTAATGGTCGTTTTTATCGGTGCTATAGATATATGGTCTGGTTTTGTGTGTCTAGTTTTTGTGATAAAATGACATCTTCATGTTTTGATATTGTATCTTCGACTACACTATGGCGTTTAATGTCAGTTATTTCCTGGACAATCTCACTCTTCTGCGTTGATGCTGGTATTTGACGCTCAGCGGAGAGACGCTTCTCAATTTCTATTCTTCTCTCAGCAACAGTACGTTTTGAATGGCTTCTTCGTCTTCAACATCCTTTTCCTCCGCATGTACTTATCTACGCGCTCGCGCATGTTCCTTAATCGGTTATCTGAAAAGAATCGTTTGAATTTAATTTTTATAGAGAAACATCTTAGTTTTGAACGTGAAATATATTTCTGCCTTTATTTTTAAAATATGTAAAATTATAAATTTGTGGTTGTGATGTAACGATGTGTCTTTACCTTCGGGGTGGATTAATTCTTCTACAGACTCAGATGTTTTCATTATATCCGTCTCATAATATTGTCCAGGAAGTAAAGATTCTCTTCCTTCAACATTAGCGCAATGAGGAACTATATCATCTCGTCCTATTCTCCTAAGAGCTAATTCGAGGGTCATGCCTGAAAGACACATGATTTGTAATTAATTTACGTTTTTATATCAGAATAAATATCGGCATCTGGTAGATAATACCTATTGGTTTGTCTGCGGCTCGAGTTTGCCAATATGTAAGCATTGTTTGTGCTTGCTGAGCACGCGATCCGGATGCCGTTCACGAATATTTCGTATCTCCGACTCCGGAATATCAAGCTCCACAGCTAATCGCTCCCAGTCATCTGCTAACAAGTTACTCACATCGGCAACACGAAGAGAATATGGTCGGACAGCTCGACGTTGTGGAGTTGAATATGCTGACGGCTCATCAGCACTTTCCGCTGGTAGCATTATATTTAGGGCACATACCGGCTGCTGGGGTGGTTCACCCTTTGCTACACGAGGTTCACGCATAAATAGTGCGCGACCTACGGCGTCTGCGTGCGGATCTTTCACACGCACTGAGAATGGAAGACGGTTTTCGCGGAAAGCCCTTAAAATAATTAATACAATTATTTTATTGAAATTCTATTTGATATAATAATAAACACTAATTCCACAAATAGGGCAGGGCGGGGCACAAAGGTCTAATTTGGCTTTGAGCAATTATATGAGAAAACCGAACCATCTCCCGATACTGACTTCGTTAGAATCAAGGTGATGGTTAATCAAGGTTATACATCTTTTTTCCTCTACTTTTAAATATCGCTGTTAAAAATTCTTAACGTTACTGGTTTTGAGATACCGGTGGTGGACCTTTTTACCCGCCGTCCTTTAGGCCCCTCTCTACCCTAATGTGTTGAAACAAAGTTTATTATTATTCCTAACGGAATGAAAGGCGTAGCTGATCTCTGGTTTCGTAACAGGTGCTAGATTCCAGACAACTCGATGTATTGCGTTTTTCCTTCCAGGACTTCAACATCACGACTTTTTGCTACCTCGTGAAGTGTTCTTGATGTTCCAGTGTTTTATCTTCTCGGTCATCAGTCATACAAAATACGCGTAATCGCGCTTCTAATGGATCCGTTCGCTTTGCAAATACTGCAAACTTGGCCATGAAAGGACATGAATCGCTTCCCTATGGTAATAGATCAATGGAGAATGTAATTTAAAATTGGTAAACTAAATTTCATAAGCATTAGTTGTTGAATTCGATTTAAATTTACATTAATTTGATAATTTTCTGACCTGTATAGTTCAGTAGCCATTTTGGTGGCTCGCTGATATTACGGCAGTCCATCAGCCAGAAACCGTGCCGGAAAACGGTGGTCGTGAATGAGACGCAGTCATTGACAAAAAGTCAATGGAGTTGAACCTGTCACATCCTCCCATTGAGCCCGTGTTGTTCCACCTGAAACAACGTATTTCAAATGCAGGAATCGTTAAAAATCGGTCAAAGTTAGAACTCGATATATTGAGTTTTTCCTTCCAGGACTTCAACATCACGACTTTTTGCTACCTCTGTGAAGTGTTCTTGATGTTCCAGTGTTTTATCTTCTCGGTCATCAGTCATACAAAATACGCGTAATCGCGCTTCTAATGGATCCGTTCGCTTTGCAAATACTGCAAACTTGGCCATGAAAGGCACATGAATCGCTTCCCTATGGTAATAGATCAATGGAGAATGTAATTTAAAATTGGTAAACTAAATTTCATAAGCATTAGTTGTTGAATTCGATTTAAATTTACATTAATTTGATAATTTTTCTGACCTGTATAGTTCAGTAGCCATTTTGGTGGCTTCGCTGATATTACGGCAGTCCATCAGCCAGAACCGTGCCGAAACGGTGGTCGTGAATGAGACGCAGTCATTGACAAAAGTCAATGGAGTTGAACCTGTCACATCCTCCCATTGAGCCCGTGTTGTTCCACCTGAAACAACGTATTTCAAATGCAGGAATCGTTAAAAATCGGTCAAAGTTAGCATGATTTTTTGCCACTAGTACTCGTAAATGAACGGTTTCCACAACTAGAAGTAATTGGACAAAGTAATGTTTTTCCAATAATGGTAGAAGATCAATTTATTAAAAAAAGTTATCTTATCTATTTAGGTAATTACATAATAGATTAATCAATTTCAATATTATTGTACATAAATTTTGCTCCGGCAATGCTTTAGTTGTGGGACCAATTTTTAACGCGAGTACTAATGAAGTTGTCGTCAATATTTTTTTTTGTCTCATGGTGTACTTTGTTTAAAATTGAACATAGTTGAATTGTTTAAATATATTAGACTGCTAGCGACTACGTTCAAACCAAATTTATATTTGACATACAGCAGTGTAAATTTGACACAGATTATTTTTTTACTAATGAAATTATCCCTTGATCAGCATAATTATTGCAAAAAATCAGCAATATATTGATAATATTTTACTTTAATAAAGCAGATCATCTCAATAAATTATCGATATAATTTTTTAATATTTAATTTTAAATTTATCCCGAGATCTCATTCGCTAGCAGCATTGTGTCTGTGAAACAATTTAATAGAAAGTTAACATTGTATTAGTTGTAAATGTATACGAATTTAAATTCATATTTATCGAAAATATGTTTCATGTTAAAATGAGCAATTGCGGAAATCAGACTCACCACGGATGGGCAATGTGTAAAAATTTTTGAATTACGTTTAAGGAATATGATTCAGTTTTGAAGGAATGTTTCGATTTTATTGTATATTTATAATGATAGGTATATATACATATTATATGTAAAATGAGTTTGGAGTTATAAGGACTACTGCCTAGTGGTTGAAAAATACGCCAATGAAAGCGTAAATGGTTTAAGTGAATAACTACATGACTATATATACACTGATGGGTATATATATATATATATATATATATATATATATGTACAGGTGAAAATCATTCTTATGATGCATAATTATAATAAGAAGCTTTTTAGACCAATGAGCGGCATGCTGTAAGGCGGTGGTTTAAAGCAGGGTCGGTTTTTCAGAAAAGTCCCTTTTATGGGCAACTAACGACTTCCTTCTTCAATAATTATAATAAAAATCATTCATAGTAAGAAATATCTACATATATAATTAAATCATTAATAAAATCAGTAATGTAAAAGTTAGTTAGCATTATATGCTTTGCCCTAAAAATATAATTGCATTATCTATTCAATTTTTAGTTAATTTATCTTGGTCATCATGAATTATCGTTCGTAAAAATTTATGTATTATATATGTAGATATCATTGACAAAAAGTTTTCTACAAAGTTAAGAAACAAAAAATGATAATGAAATGCAGCAATATAGTATAATTTGTGATTGCAGTGTTCTTGTTTTGGTCAACGAATTGATTAAAATAAATCGAACGTGATTAATTTATATATTTGTGTACTGTGTTAGTGATCTTTCTGTCACATACATTATTTGTGTTGAATATGCGTACGTTTATACAGGCATTGTATTTATGCACATACATCATTACCTCTATAAACATGAATTATTCCAAAAAATCAATAATTTTGTTAGCATTATCATTTTAGAAACATTTGATACGTACACGTGCAAATATACATTTAAATATACATATACATGCACATTTACATGTACATATACATATACATATATATAAATATACACTTACTTGTATACGCTACTATATGGACAATCAGATTGTTTAATGATCACTTTCATGCATTACAGTTATATTTATATTATTCATTATGAACAAAATAATTAAAAAAAAATTACAAATATTTTGAGTCAAGTTTTTCTAAAAAATATATAACTTATTATGAGCTATATAATTGACACATTAAATTTTGACAATATTGAGAAAATATTATTTTAAATATTGAATTATTTTAATAAAGATGCTCAACTGCAACGTATAAAAGTTTTCTACTAAACATGTGTCCATATAATTTATACTTTCGGTGATCTCGTTTCGAATATTCAATTTAATATTCCAATTTTTTGAAAAAGTATCATTAAGCAAATGACGTTCGAAATTCCACAAATAGATTATAAATAATTTTTCAACCAATGTGTGTTATGTATATGCATATATAGGTCCAAAAAAGATTTTTTCACATATCATAATAAATAAAGTTTTAAGTAGAAGTAGTGTGTTGCCCAAGCTGGGGTTAGTTACCTTTTAGAGATCTTTTCCGAACACGCCTGCCAGGTTAGCGTGCATCAACGGTTAATACTAAATATTTTTTATATAATTTCTTATGAAAGTATGCGATCTAAAATTATTTAAAACGATTTCGTGATACAAAACAAGTTCATGTACTTATACTTAACTCTCGCGTAACTAATTTGTAGTCAACTAGTCATTATCTTTTTTAATTCCAAAAATGAACTGAGATATGAAATTGCATTTGCTACGAAATTTATAAAATTTTAAACCAAATTTTGATACAAATCAAATAATAATATTATAATTTGCTAATTTAATTTCAATTTATCTTTATCTTGAAGTTTATAATATTAAGATATACCTACAAACGCTTAGTAATAAAAATTTTGAATATTGAAACTATATTGCGAATACAATATACATTTCCACGGAATGATTTTTTATGATGAATTATATATAATTTAATTTTTATGAAAAAAATACACACATTGTATTAAACTTAGTTGACAAGCTTAAATGTTTGAGGCAAGTTTTAGGAATATTATTTTTATTAGTACTTCAATATCAATTATAGTGTGGAAATTGAATTCTTGATAAAGTTTTTACAGTGGAACCTCGTATAAATCGCTACTTAAAAACGAAAAACGCGTCCATGCCAAATTTTGTCACTTTCTAGGATAATTCACTAATCCTCGTTAGTTATGAAAAGTTTTTGCTGTTTGTGGAAAAGATTCGTTATAAGAGGTTCATGTTAAACATTGGGATCAAATCTCCGATAAAATAGAAATGTTATGGTAATGCTATGTTACGGGTCCGAATTCGTATTAGTTAGTAGTAACGAACTGCAAAAAAGCTATGTATTTGCTGTGCAATCAGGCATTTTACACATAAAACCTAACTTCTTGAATGTGTTATTAAAGAGACGTCAGAAAGTTGCACTCATGTAAAATAGTTTTTTGACATGTGCATTTTGTGAGTTGAGTTTATATGTGTATTTGCGTATTAAGTCTTTTCTTCGATAATTCAGGTTGTTGGGTTATGATTTAACTCTTGTAGCTGTGAACTGTATGAAACACTTATTTGTTGGTATAATTTATGTATTTGTTGCAAATTCTTATTAATAAGGTGACCATCTTTTTTAAAGACAAAACCGGGACGACAATTTTTAATTACGCAATCCTGGACGGAAGAGAGGAGTCTTTAAAATAACAAATACTATTTAAGGATGCGATAAAATAAGTTTTTTTTATTATGAATCAATTTTTTTAAATCAAAATTGCGGGCTTTTAGTAAGAACTTCTTTATTCAATTATATATAATAATGTTTTATGTATGATATTATATTATATCATAATGATTAATATGTTTTTGTCGCTTTTGAGCCCTGTATAAAATTCTATATAATATTATTATTCTGTATAATTAATTTGAAACAAAAGCCTTACTTATTTGTTTTCATTATATTTGTTATTGTACCTATCAATCATCAAAAAAACTGGAAGAATGCGGGACAAAAAATCTAAATTCGGGATAAATATTGCTTTTAGAAAAACCCGGGACGCAAGGTGCAAACCTTATGTATTATTATTAGGTGAACGTATGGTCACCTTATCATTACACTAATAATTTGTCACTAGGTTCTAATTTAAGAAAATTTATCTATCGATTATTTATTACATATGTTGTTGCGCGGACTTTAGTTTTAGAAGTGAAAAAAATAAGTCCGATCCAAAATCTCCGCTACCCCTATAGGGGTAATATATAAAAGCCGAATGCCATGAAGATTGCCGCCCTTCATGGCCAATGTAATAAAATGAAAATACGTCTGAACAATAGGGACGTATGGTCACATTATTATTACACTAATGATTTGTCACCAAGTTCTAATTGAAGAAGATATATTTATTGATTTTTTGTTACGCGGACTTTAGTTTTAGAAGTGAGAACAATAAGTCCGATCCAAATCCGCTAGCTCCTCTACAGGGTAGCAACTGTCCGGTGTAAACTCTCAATGCCGTGAAGATTGCCGTCTTCATGGCCAATGTAATAAAATGAAAATACGTCTAAACAGGTAAACGAAATAGGTAAACGCCTAATTGAACAGTGAATACATAGCCTTTTGGCATGTTGCTACTGCCAACTAATACGAATATAGACCCGTAACATAGCATTTACATTACCACAACTATTTTAGCAGAGAATTGGCCCCATGATTTCACTGTAGAATAAAGTAGAATGCTCTTAATATGTGCATCATGTTCATCTAAAATAATTAGTTGCAATTCATAAAACTTGCATCAAACGTTTTTAGCACACACACAGATATGTATATATATACATATATATTTATATGGGTGTGTACGCATTTCAATCATATATATATATATATATATGTATATATATATATATATATGTATATATATTTATGCACGTCAATATATTAATTTGAAATAAATTTCCAGTGGCTGACCTGTAATCGAGCAGAGCAATCGCAGCGTCGGTACTGACCCAGAGTACTGGTTAATCATACCCTGGCTGTGCGCCCTCGGCGCCGGCATGCTGAGCGTGATGGCTTTGTGGAACTTACGCCTTCTCGGTTCAACCGTAACGACAGGGGACACTGCGACACCACGGCCAAGTAATTTCGCAGCCAGCTCGGAGTCGATCGGCTGAGCCTATAGCGAACAATTAACAAGCCCCACAACGGTAAGTTGCCAAAACGTACTAAATTTTTATGAGGGGCTGTCGATTAATCACGTGATCGATTTTTAAGGACTTTTGGTCAACTCCCCCGACCACCCAACATCACCTGTATATGTAGCACTAATAAATAATCGTACATCTTTTTGAAATTTTTTGGAAATTTGTTTTGGATTTAGGTAATGAATAAATACACGTGATATCTTACTAGAACCCCTATGTCATATTTCGTGATTTTTGTTACATCCCCTTCTAAGCCTCACGTGATTAATGGACGGCCCCTAAGGTGAAATGGGGTATGTTTCTTTTCACATTTAATTTTTATTATTAAAATACTAAGATTACTTCATGGGCCCATTTTGCAGTAACACAGCCGATGCTTGTTTTTTTGGTAGTAAAAACTGTAAAAATGTCTATCTATTTACTGTACGATCAGGCGTTTTACACATGTTATAGATGCGCACAAGGATGATGTTATCTTAGCATTCCTTCTTGGTTTGTTTATATGCAAAATGCGCCCCATTGCACAGCAAATAGATAGCATTTTCACAGTTTTTACTACCAAGCAATAAGCATAATTTAGCGTTACCATAACAACGCTATGTTATCGGCCGTGTTACTGCAGAATTGCCTCATATTACAAAACTAATTGCATAAGTAGTAACTAGTTCAATTTTTTACAAAGCGAAATCCGATATATGTATATTTTTCCAGAAAATTAAACCTTTCAAGTTAAGTTTAAAATTATAATTTACACTTTGCATAGCTTTCTAGCTATTCGATATTACATTTGAAATAATTTAAATCCTGCAACATTTACGAACTTACCCCACTTCACCTTTTATATTTTTTGTTTATCAAATGTTTTTATAAAAAAAATATGTTCATCTAAAATTCATCTAAAACGTTGATTAGATCTATTATTTGAAAGAATTATCTCTAGGTTCTTTCATTAAGTTATATAACAAAACTAAATATTAGTCTGATAACAAGTTTCACAAAAAAGACTTCTGTGCTGGATGTGCGACATATGTTTTGCAGTGTATTTTTTTACAGCTGAATACGAATCTTAAACTCAAAATTAGGGGCCAAACTGTAAATCGGAGAAAAATGTAGAAAAAACTAAAAAAACCCGATCTAGTAATTTTTCTTCATGTTAAATAAGTTGTTACAATTTCTATCTGATCTATGACTGCGATGGATTTCGGCAATGCTTTTTGCATCTCTGGTGAGAAGATTTTGTCTTTTGCCGTTTTTTTAGTGTGTTCCCCAATTTTGACTTTAGATTCGTGTTTAGCGCTAAAAAATATATTGTAAAACATATGTCGCACACCCAGCACTACCACTTTTTTTTGCAGATCTGTGTTATTTTATATCGTATAACTTTTTTTATAAATTCCCGTTTGTTTGTCTAGCTTTGTGTCTTTTTTGATAAAAAGAATCAATTGTTTAAAGTATTTTAAAATATTCTGATACACTTGAAACAATATTTAAAAACACAATATATTCTCCTCATATAACGGTTTATGATCAAAACTTGATAATATACCTACTGAGATGCGGCGGTTCAAAATTCAGTAATAATCGAAAAGATGTCAGTTTGTCATAATTAATAAAGTTCATGTGAAAAGTAAACGTTTGGTTTTCAATGTGTTGTAGTTTCGTTACACATACACCTATTTTTATCATTTGACGCTTTAGGAATTTTACTATAAGTAATAAATTGGTATCGCTATGATAATAATGTCAAATGAAAATGTTTACCGTGAATTTCGATATAAATGATTAATTAGTATTCATATATGCATTCAGTGCAATTTGATGATTTTCTAGTCCGTACGTCACTGTAGTACGAATTATTATGTGGTGTACAATGTTAGTTCGATATATACTATTATATTTTTCTCTGATGAATATTACTCTCATGTAGCATTTCAAGCAAACCAAATCTGTGAAATCATTATTATTATTATGAATATTTCATGCAAATATGTGATTAAAGTATAGACATTACCAGATATTTTGGAAGTGTTTTGGAATCAGAATCTAAAGGATTATAGGATGCTTTTAGGATTAAAAAATTGCATATCATGAAGCAAGGCTCGAAATAAACGGTAGCCATATCAAACACGTTCAAAAAATAAAATAAAATATATGGCGCGCAGTGCACAAAAAGCCAGACAATCATTCTAATGAAAAAATACATGGTTTACAAATGCTTTTATGTTTATCTTTCTTGTAAATGATTAGAAATAAGCTTTGTAATAAGTTACTTGCAAATGTATTTTTTCTGCATTGTAACTAAATAATTAAAATAACTTATCACAAATGGAATAATTTTAAAACCATGTTTACAAATCAGCATGTAACGTTGAATGCAGTACATTAATAAAAACAAAAATAAAAGCAATGCTATCATATTTGAGCTAATTAGCCCAATAAATTTAGTTATTGTCATGAACTGATTTTTTTAAACCGAGTGCCACACATTATTTTCTTTCGAACCCCGCTACACGATCTCTTTCTGATTTGAATTAAATACACCATTTCATTTATTTTTCAAAAACTAAATTTATTGGGCACCCAAAATCTTATCCAGTATTTTGTACAGCCATGATATTAATATTAGTGCACTTTTGACAAAACTAACAAAACAGTGGTAAACGTCACGCAACATTTTGTGACAAATGGACACAGAACACCGGATTTTGTGAAAACATGAATTAGCTAAGTGCGAATGGGTAAAAAATAATGACTAGAATATCTGCATTATCATGAAAATAGTTTTGACATGAAATATATTTTCACAGAACTCGGCACACTGAACCCAACGTTTCGAACAAAACTGCTACTGTGAAATTAAAGTTTCTACACATTATGCTATATATATGTATATATATATATATATATATATATATATATATCCATTCAGAATTAAATTTATATCCAGTTAAACTTTTACAAATCAGCGACAAAACAGAATGAACATTAGCATATTTAAAATGTAAAACTTACAGTTGATACTTTTATTTCATTTGCTTCAAGTATCAATTTGTCTATTGTTTAACCTTTTTAATATGCAAAAATGTCACATTATTTATGAATTTTCTTATAGAATCATTATATAATTTTTACATTTCATATACCATGGATCACATTTTTATCATTATACAAATAAAAAAATAAATATTTTTGCACAAACAGGGATATCTGTTTCTGAACACTTTGTGTACATATGATACAGTAATATACAGTATCACTAGAGTTAATAGAGTTTAGCTAAGCATATAGTTATATGACGACTTAAAATATTAAATGATCTGCTGAGTTTGCCACTTGCACAATGTGATAAAATAACAAAATAGAAAATTATAATATTGAATGACTTACATAGTAAAACTATTGTACGTAATTTTTCCATAAATATTACATATACATAAAATGTTCTTAAAAATATTATTCACTTAAAATACCCCATTGGCATTTTAGTCACTAAAAGTTAAATTTAGAGTCTTTAGTCAAAGACTAAAAGTCATTATGCTTTACTTTATTATAATTATGGCAAAATACATTTTAAGAGAAATCTTCAATAATTTCAAAAACTGAAAAAAGTTTATGCACGTTCATAATTTGATTTATAGTAAATATTTTTAAACAGATTACTGTTTTCAGATACCGTTAGTCACATTCAAACTTTCATGCCATTTTTACAATTTTGAAATTATATTACATATTAAGTGGCAATCTCTATAGATTATTTTTATTATTAGTATTAATGATCTGACAATAAATTTAAGCATTAGTATTAGTGGTAAAATGATTGTGTAATAGTAGATTTTATGGTAATTTTTGTTAATTGGTGATAAGCTTCAATTAGTTTAAACTATTTCAATCATATGAGCTCTACAATATGAAAAGATATGTTTATTGTGAATATGCATTATAGTTCGAAATCCAAAAGCAAATTCTTACAGGTTGATGATTTTTACAAGCACATAGTTTTTTTCACGTGTATATGAATTCATTTCTAATGCACTACTTTTAAATATAGCTCATATTTATAACGAAGTATAAATTTTGAGAAATTTATGTTTAGCCTCATCAACTAATTATTTTACATAAGCTCTTCTGGGGAACAAACTACGATGACTTTATTAAAACGGTTGTTATACTTTTAAAGCGCATCTATGGAATTTCTACTTACTACCAATCAAGGCGTTTGCCATGTAACGAAATCTACTCGAATTTATTAACTGACAGAAAAATAAGAGCTAAAACTCAATCAAAATTGTTAAATTTAATGGCAGAGTTTTTTTTATATTTGTCTTATTTTGGCGTTTGACTTTAACATAGTTATTAAATTATAAACTAAATATCTACGGAATACAAAATTTTTAACGTCTAACAAATAGCACAAAAAGACACAAACATTTTAAAATTAGGAACAAACATTGAAGAGTTGCAGAAGAATTATACGTACTTAGGACAAAACATCACATAAAATAAATAAAGGAATAAATAATTAATTAATTTAGTGCTAAAAATTAATTTTATCCTACTTAGCACTGACAAGCTACGACATATAAAGCGAATTATTATTCACAATTATAAAACGAATTCGTGCTTTAAAGGAAATCATGAATAATCTTGGCTTAGGCCTTTGTCGAGCGTTTTTATTCACATGAAATCTTCAAATAGTTTTTTTTAAATAGTGTATATTTTGGTTATATACACACGTTTTTACTTTGAAATATACAAATTTAATATGTGGCAACATTATTGTATGCTATTGTCCTTGTAGATAATATGTTAATTTTTACAGTATGCGAATACTTTTATAAATAATCTTTTTGAAATAATGCTTATCTTATATAAATCTGGAAAAAAGTGTATGAAAATTGAATGTAAATTTTTATATCGTAAATAAAATCTGAGTAACATTATATTTATTTGCATAAAATGTAATCAAAACGTCAGGAAAATAGCAGTATTGATCAAATAGCAATAATTTAATATCTTTGGTGTTGTATATCGAATCTTTTATATAAAATATTTTTATAAATGTTATATTGTTACTCAGCCTAAACTTTTACCGTATTTTTTAATTTTTTGTAAAATATGACTTCGAATATTTTCTTTTTGTTTTGAAACCGATTACCATATGAGGGAGAATCTCTTCTTTTTTGGCACGTGATTGACGGATATCTTACGTAGTTTTTGTGGAGCAACGCCTTTGCGCGGTTTGAAAAGGTTTACCTGTAGGCCAACTTTGATCTTCTTGGTAAGTGCGCCTTGAGGAAAGACGGCTTGCACTTGAGGTACTACTGTACTAGAGACCATTCCACCTTCGGGTCCAATGGCGTGCACTTCTTGGCGTACGCGAGAAACCACGGCAAAATATTGTGGGAAGTCGTTTGTTAAGATACGGGTAAGACGACCGGAACAAGCATCTTCCATTTGGCTCAAATCTAAAATGAAAAATAATAAGGTGAAATGTACCAACTACCCACAATATGAATTTAAAGTAGGAATATTTGATCATTTGCAAGTTGTTATTCAAAAAATCGAAATGAGAAAAAATTACCATCAGCTTCAAAGCTGTCATTCAGCATATCATGCACTATGTCTTCAGAAGCATCCACAATGTGCTCTCGCCACGTCTCACCATTGTCAGATCGCAAAATAACAATTTCTCTTTCTTTTCCGCGCAATGATGCAAAGTGAGGAACTTCCAATATTACCGGTCTATAAATAAAAAAATAGATTATATACATGTAAAACATGTGCTTTGATAAAAACTTGGTTGCGAATAATAATTGCATAAAATATTCTGCTGCCTCATTGGATTTTAGTAAAAAAATTATAATTCAATTTACCCCAAGAACTTTGCGCCGACTGGTCCTAGTTCGAGCACCCGGCTCGCTAAAGCTTCTCCTTCCATCAAAGGCGGCGGATGGGGCGTTCGTTGGGGTTTCACATAGCGACACGTTATTCGAGTTGGCTGTGGTGCCGATTTTGGTGGCACTATGACGCGTACGCCACTGTGGCGACATCCACGCATCGCTCCACCTCGTGCGTCCACCAAGAACGATACCAGGAAACTGAAAGAATTTTTTTCTTAATTTGTGTTGTCACGTAAATCAATACAAATTTCACAAAATCAGTATGTGTATAACCAACACTAATAAGTGTGTTTTTATACCATTTGATAATTCTACCACACAAATTTGTACAATATATATTGATTTTTATATACACTTCCAAATGGTGCAAAATAGAGATTGCTACATTTATATAACATTGTGCCACATAAATTACACCATCAATGTGATATTAATCACAGACAAATATACATATTGCTGTATTTAAACATACTACACAATATATGTGATTTAACTTCTAATTTTGCACATCTACAATAATAGCACTTCATTGAGATTACTCACTTTCTCCAATGTAGTTTTCTGTTGATTCCGTTTGGTTAAGGCATAGGAGAATATAATTTCGTTAGTTAATATTAATATTAATTGATACAATTATTATTGTTAAAGATAATCACTAATTGAATAAATAGAGTATTTATTATATTTCAACATATTTATATCTGAATATTAGTTAAGTAAATATTTCTCAAACTTAAAAGATGCGAATTTACTTGTACTTGGAACTTGCATCAAATCATGATGATTATAAAAATATTTGAAAATCTAATAATTTCAAAGTATTGCTAATACATACCCAACGTGAACTGGTTGTGAACTAATATCGACATTATCCACATTTTTAATGTAATGTTCTGCATAAGTTTGTCCAATATGCTGGGGACTAATGCTATCTTCCATAGCAGAGTGAGGTCCTAGAATTGCCGATTCTACACTGGTGACCATACGGTTTGAATCTATGCGTTCATCCCCAGTAACGTCCATGGGCAGTGAGTCGTCTCCAAGAGATTTCATTTCATCCACTGTTAAGTATCTGTATGGCTGATCCGTCATCATAGTGTCTTCTCCTAAAAAATTATTATTGCCATGTATTTTAGTTACATGTTTCGATGTATTACTAATTAAAAAATAACAATTTCTAACGCATTTAATTATTTTGATTTTAATAAATAATATTTCAGTCTTCGAGAAACATATTTCTGAAATATTATCATTTACCTCGCTCTTAGAATATATTTCAATTATATAAAAAATGATGTCTTTTGTATATTTTTCATCATTTTTTCAATGCCAAGCATGTTGCAAAAGCTTTTATGTAAATATTAATATGTACCTCCTTCTTCTTCCGAATCTGACATGAATGCTTCATGCATGGCTTCAGGAGCTACAACTTTATATTTTTCATCATTAGCATATGTTACTTTGGAAGCCTTGGGATCAGTTACAACTTTCAGCGCCTCTAGAACGCTGATGTAACCTAACTTTTGTGCAATGTCCAATGGTGTTTGACCGCTCTGTTAATTAAAAAATGAAATTATTAGAGAAAGTAAATTGACTTAATTTAATTTTGATGCAATATACGTACGTCAGTTACTGTGTTTGGTTGAGCTTTATTGGCAAGAAGAATATTGACAATATGTGAATGTCCTTGTTGAGCGGCATGATGCAGAGGAGTATAGCCTATAGATGTACGAGCAGAGACATCTGCTTCGTTGTCTAGCAAAAATCTCACCATGTTGGCTTGACCATAATGGCTTGCTACGTGCAAAGGTGTATACCCTTGCGCTGTTTCAGCATCAACTTTTGCTTCATTTTTAAGTAATATTTGAGCTACTTTGACTTTGTCTTCCTGCGCACACAAATGTAGTGGCGTAAGTCCATTTTTAGATGCTTTGTCGGCTACTGCACCGTGCTCTAATAGGAGAGATGCTGCATCCGCATGACCTTCTTGTGAAGCCAGATGCAGTGGAGTAAATCCGGTGCGACTTTCAGCATCTGCTTGTGCACCATACTCCAACAAAGTAGATGCGATGTCCATTTGCTCTTTTCTTGCTGCGATGTGTAGTGGTGTGTGCCCATTCTTGGCGGCAGCGTGTGGAGATGCACCCTTATCGAGTAATAACAGAGCCACATTCTGGTGATCGTAGTGACTTGCCACGTGCAATGGCGTCACCCCATTTTTACCCTGCGCGTCCGGCGGTGCATCGTGCTGCAGCAATAACTTTGCTACTTTCATGTTACCATATTTTGCTGCTAAGTGCAGCGGCGTAAAACCTTTCTTGGTAGTGGCAGTCAATGATGCACCATTCTCTATAAGAACTGCTGCTACCTGTAATGTTGCAAATAAACAAATTTATGCAAACTGTGTAAATCTATTGCAAACTGAATATTTAATATATTCGGTTTATATCAGCATAACTTATTTGTTAATTCACACTTTTATATTTGATCTAACATTTTTCAATGTTGTTTTAAGATCAGTTAACGTTTGGTGATTTGTTCAAATTCACTGGTGATTGTTATTTGATCAGGGCAACCATAAATATAAATATTCTATCTTATAACTTAATATAATGCAAATAGATATCGGGTTCAAAATTAGTTTAATTACAAATTAGTCCATTGTCATAAAATATTATACCATTGTTATATGAAAAATCAAACACAGAATTACCTGCCTGTAAAATGGCAAGTAATTCTTCTAAATTTTAGTGCATTTTGTACACACTCCTACCTGATACATACTTAACTTTAATTGAAATTCTTCCGCGGTCAAACTTATACCATTGTAACATGACGGCACGAAATATTAAAAAAATCTTTAAGCAAATTGCTTTGAAAATGGCGATATTAATACGTGATATCTCTGTACATGCATGCATTAGCTATGTCATCATAATAGTTTTATTTCTAATCCATGATGATGAAGGGGAAAGCTGCATCAGGCGGAGTTTAGAAACGATTAGTTAATCATATAGTTTGGTAAGCACTGTTCCTTAGACTTTTCCCTTCATCAATGCCAGAGATATTTAAACAAAAAATAATCAAAATTAAGGAAATAAAAACTAAATAATAACATGAAATTTTATTAAACTACGTAAATATAACAATCCAGGTCATTTATAAACTTGTATAAATATAGTAGATCATAATTAACAACAAGATCACTATTGATCACAAAACTGATATTGTATTAGAAGGACTAAAGGAAGAGTGCATACCTTATTTTAAACCAATTCCCAATTATAATTCACAAATTTAACAATAAATAGTTAGTGTTAGAACGATGAATCTTATATAAGTTTTTGATTCTAAATCATGGCACAAAGATTTTCTCTAAAATATATCACTTTTGTTTCAATGGCAATAATTCATAGAGTATATAAAAATATGGGAAATAATTACAGCACGCTTTTTTCATTACTCATATAAAAGGTTAAATATATTTCTAAAATTTGGCACGTAAAACTATTGTACATAAATACTTGGTTGAAGTTAAGTAGAAATTGACAAATTTATCATTGCAAGATGACTGTTGAAACATTTAACGACATATAAAAATGCAATTTTCAATTCAAGTATTATTACTTTATAAATGGCAGTATATATCAATAAAAAAATTAATTTAAACTTTTCGCCTAATAATATTCCACATGCATCTTACCATATAAAGTTAAATTATAAGATTTAAATTTATATAACAAATATAAAAATATATTTGATATCGTGAGGAATATATTTTAGAATTAATGCAATTCATTTGGGTACCTTTTAAGACATGTGTTGAGAATAGAATCGAATGTAATGATGCATGTGTGACACAACCGTTTTCAATCCACATTCACTATGACCAAAAATGTAGTTCTAAGTATTTATCAGTCAATTTATTATATGTGAAAAAAATTGCTTGAATATAATTCGGTGTAGTAGATAATGTAAAGTTTTCGAATAAATACAATAAATTGACAAAAAGAGTTTAGAAATCCGAATTTCTAAAATTTACGTCAAAAATAACTTGCAGTCGAAAACTTAGATGAGGTACTCTTGATGCCTGATCCAGAAGAGCTGCATAAGATAGACTGTGTCGATGTGATCCATGATTCGTCTAGCGACTAAGTTCTTTACCTCATCTTGTCCTTCCTTGGCAGCGATGTGTAGTGCCGTATACATGTCTTTGGTGGTGTTGTCCGCCTGCGCTCCGTGTTGAAGAAGGAGCATTACAATGTCGACATTACCAAGCCTCGATGCAATGTGAAGCGGCGTCTGTTGCTCTCGTGCTCTAGCATTCACTTGGGCACCGTTTCTCAACAGAATGCGAATTATGTCCGTCTGAAAATAATAACAACACTCAATCAATGTTATTCATTTGATTCAATTCATATCTTTGGATAATGACCATACCAATATCTTAATACAAGGAGAGAGTTAAATACAAACCTGGTTAGCTCTTGCAGCTAGATGTAATGGTGTCTCTCCTCGAACTGTCGGTAACGTCAGGACTAGCTTCATGTTGAAGGAGATATATTACGATGTTCATACATCCCATAAAACTGGCAACATGTAGTGGCGTCAAACCACTTTCGTAGTTGCACTAATACCTGAATCAAGAAAAAGCCATGAAGAAGAAATTTAATCGCAAGACAAAAAAATATTGGACACAATAGAAAATGATGACTTACTCGCTCGTGTTTTAGTAGCAGCTCGACTACTTGATGCGATCTTTTTGCAAGCGATATGAAGAGGCGTAAAACATTTGGGCTCGTGCATTTGCATCAGCACTGCGGTCCAGCAGCAAAATTTGCAACAAGCACATGTCGCAATGAGCTGACGTGGAGTGCTGTAAATAATCCACAGTAACTTCATCGAGGGAGCGCGATGATTAAAGCAGGATACGCGCTGCATCCACGTGTTCGCCTTGAGCTGCCATGTGCAAAGGCGCCAAACCATTCTAAAGTTTCACATTGGATTTACGTACAGAAATTCGAATTATTAAATTATTTAAACCGAGTCATCTATTTATGGGCCACATAATATTTCATCAGTCATTGTGGAAGTTTCCAAAATTTCCATTTGCTGTTGTCTACGAGGCATTTTAGCCTCTCGATGTGTTCTCGTTGGCGCGCTGATCTGCCACTTTCACACGTGCAGCAACCAATTTTTCAGCATACTAATGGGAATTATACCCACAATTAGGTCCTAGGGTATCCATAATCAATAATAATAATTATGTATATGTATTCAGCATTTTGTACTATAGTAGAACTAGTATTCACGGTTTTTAGGCATATTTTTTACACTAGTTGGTTGAAGCTTTTAATTTTTTCTGATTATGGATTCAATCTTGAACTACACATCTTAAAACTAAATTATCATTGCAGAGATCGTCGTAAATCGGTTTAAAAGTTTTTAAAATATCAGGGGGCGAGGAAGAATAATCTTGAGTATAAGTATCGAGCTCTCCACTTGCGTCAACCCGCTGGTAAGAGTCCAGTAACTCAAAAAGTAATCATCGGATCAACTTGAATTTTTCAGAGAACATTTTCAAGATATTACACTTAATGAAAATGCAAGAAAATAAAAATCGATTTTTCAAAAATTCCAAGTACTCCTAACCTCTTAATGCAAGGAGAGAGTTAAATACAAACCTGGTTAGCTCTTGCAGCTAGATGTAATGGTGTCTCTCCTCGAACTGTTGGTACGTCAGGACTAGCTTCATGTTGAAGGAGATATATTACGATGTTCATACATCCCATAAAACTGGCAACGTGTAGTGGCGTCAAACCACTTTCAGTAGTTGCACTAATACCTGATTCAAGAAAAGCCATAAAGAAGAAATATTAATAGCAAGACAAAAAAATATTGGACACAATAGGAAATGATGGACTTACTCGCTCCGTGTTTTAGTAGCAGCTCGACTACTTTGATGCGATTCTTTTTGCAAGCGATATGAAGAGGCGTAAAGCCATTTAGGGCTCGTGCATTTGCATCAGCACTGCGGTCCAGCAGCAACTTAGCAACACGCACGTGTCCGCAATGAGCTGCTACATGGAGTGCTGTTAAATAATCCACAGTAACTTCATCGACTGGAGCACGGTGATAAAGCAGGATACGCGCTGCGTCGACGTGTTCGCCTTGAGCTGCCATGTGCAAAGGTGCCAAACCATTCTAAAATGTTTATTTTCAATATTATCATATTACTCCGATAATATAATATTTAATCACATGAAAACTAACCAACACACAAATAAATACTTTTTCGAATACAAGGGATCGTTCAAGTATTACGTAAGCAGATATATTACAATTATTTACCCCCCCCCCCATCGCCCTTGTCAACAAAAGTAAGCAAAGCTCTTACCCCCTACCCCCAAGCTTACGTAAACATTTTGCAATTAATGTAAAAAAATAAAAATACTACCTATGACGTAATCATCATCCAGACTCCCCTGCCCCCCATGTCAACCCAAAATAAGCAAATCAACAAATTTCCTGCCCCCCCTATAGTGCTTACGTATTACTTGAACGGCCCCTAAATATTAAAAAATCGCAGCTGCTAAAAAATTAAATTCATAAACATTCTAAGGCATAATTTAAAATAATGGTCACAAATGGTAGAAAAATGCAACTTTGATGTAACAACTTTATGTCGATTGATGATTATAGACAAACGCTGCACATGCAACAAAATTGATGTGAAAATCGATGAAATTAGGTGAGCATGACACAGAAACACAAAAGCTAAAGAATAATGAAACCCTTTGCTGAGATTTAATCGGTCATTTATTTTTTACCTTGGTCTTTGAACTGATGGGCGCGCCGCGATCCAGCAACATATCTACCACTTGTTCATGTCCTGAGCGAGCCGCACAATGCAGTGGCGTGAGGCCATCTCTGGTTTTGCTTTCGATATTTGCCCCTTTATCGACAAGCAGTCCGACCATATTTGTTTTACCCCATTTGGCAGCCACGTGAAGAGGGCTGATGTTGTGTTTGGCGGCATAGTTTACATTTGCACCTTTTTGAATCAGCAGGTTGGCTATCGATTCATTGCCATAATGTGATGCGATGTGTAGTGGAGTGAACCCTGACTTTGAAGTAACGTCCGGGTTGTGCTCGTTCTACACGCAAGGAATGCAAAGGGAAGAAAACAGATACACCCCAATGAATAAATGAATTTACGATGATATGAATATGATCGAAATTTTTTTGAAAAACGTAATGTAAAGCTTCTAGAAATATTGTATATATAATATAAATTGTTGTTGATATTTCAAATAATGACAGTCAACAGACAGCATAATCATAACCCTAAAATTAATACATATACAAAATGTACAGCACTTGGATGTCGACTGTACCCATAAAGTTACAGTTTAATCTAGACAGTTCTTATTCAATGTTTTTGTTAGTTTTGTTGCATTAGTAAAGAAAAGAAAGACACAAAATTAGTTCTGAGAAATATAATATATGCAGGATTAGAACAAATTGAAAATATGTAATTTTATTTGATACATAGTTCCATGTGATAGAGATATTTAATTAATACATTTATTTTCCCAACATATTTAATATAAAAAATAGTGATTTAAATTTATTTAAGTTTACCTCTAAGAGAAGCGTTGCTGCTTTGACGTCATCTTTTTTTGCTGCAATATGAAGTGCAGGTAGGCGTACTTTACCTCTTGTGTCACTTTCTAATAGAACTGCGACAACTTTGTCATGCCCTTGTTGCATGGCTACAGCCAAGGGTGTGAATCCATCCTACAGAAATTAACAAGTGAATATAAAAATACACTTTTACACATTTTGAGATATATCATTCTCGGGGGCACTTACTTCTGTCGCGAGACTTTGGTTTGCTCCATTTGCGAGGAGATATTTAACAACTGAGTCATGATTTTCCTGTGATGCCATATATAATGGCGTAAATCCATTTTGAGACTGAACATTTACGGAAGCGCCATGAGGAACTAATAATTTGACCTGTTGAATAAATCAATTAGTATATAAAATGATTAATTGTACGATGAAAATGAATTGAAATAATATTAGAAAAGATATGATAAAATTGATGCTTCTGGATTTGAATGCATTGGGTATAAACTGTAACTTTTATAAATAATAATCCAAATAAAAATGATTTTTTAATCACTTACCACTTCTTCTTGGCCAGCCAACGAAGCGATGTGAAGCGCTGTGTTACCCTTCTTTGTGGCGGCGTCAACATTTGCACCTCTTTTGAGTAATTCTTGTACAACCGCCACATGACCATCCTTAGAAGCTAAGTGCAAAGCATTGAGGCCATTCTGCATAAAAAATACAACATAACATTAATATGAATTGATCGGTTAATAGTATAATTTTTGTTTAAGATTTAGAATTCGGCAGTAGTTGATTTTGTCAGAAGTTTGGCCATGACGCATAGATTGTTTACATCACTAAATCATCGAGGTTCTCGTCTATACAATAATCTTAATCATGACCTCGCCTATAATAAATTTAACCAGATAAACTCCATAATTTAACCAGACACCCGCTCTCATCCAATATTAGAATTGCGTTAAACATTCATGTCATTGGCTTTATTCCAAATTAAAATAAACTATACTAATATATATATATATATATATATATATATATATATATATATATATATATATATATATATAATATGAACGATTGAGAAAACAGTTTATACCGTGGCTTCCTTCTCTATATTTTTATGTTATTTTAGTTAAATGCTTCAAATTTATTGTAGATCACACAGATGAAAATCACATCACATATAGATTGCATCGTTAGAACGCATATTTAAATATTGTATACAATTAATACATATAAAATCTCCAATTTGATATTGACATTTGTAATGGTTCAGTTCTAATGATCTATGGTTAATATTAATAAAAGTTGTATAAGTGTAGTTAATATCCAGACTCCTCTGCTAACATTCTAACCTTCAGTGACTAATAAAGTTTAATATTATAATACTATTTAATCTCTTGATCATTATTAAGAGTATATTTTGGTCTAGAATATTTTCAAATCGAATTTGTTTTTTTTTTAATGTTTTCAAAGTATATTCAAAAAAATGTGTTCAAGAGGATTTTTCAAAATTTAAATGGTTTTTGAAGATATAGCTGTTTCCTCACTCCGCGAAACTTTAAACGCGTTTTTCTCCAAAAAACTTTTCTATCTATTTCGATACGATACTCACGATTTCTCAACTTCCACTAACTAGGCTCACACCTAAATGCAAAGTTTTACTATTTTTAAAAATTCTAGAAGAAAAAAAAAGACAGATTTTTTTTTTTTTCAAACAATCGCTTCTTTGTTACAAAACATTTGTTTAACTTGTCCGTAGTTTATACGATTGCGACATTACTCTAGATTGATAATATATTTATTTAAATCATTTTTGTTCAGATTATTAGGGTCAGGTGAAAATTTTTTGTGACTCCCCACTACATCACGTTCTAGAATTCGAACTTTATGACTATTTGTAGCTTTTGTTTTTTTATATTCACAAAACACGAACTTATAACTTTTGAAATATATAGTAAAAATATTATTTTCATGCCTCTACACAGAATACCCCCTTAAGCTGTCAAACTTTATTTTGCCCCTGATGAGAGGTAAGTTCTATATATCAATAGAACTTCTATTGATGTGTGTGCTTCTACTTCTAACCATTTATTATTTTTGCAATTTTATATTCCGATAATGACAACTGTAAATTACTAAACGATAATGATATTATTGTAATATGATAAACACGTTATTTTCTGAAAATAAACCCTATTTTGTTTATTTGGAAAAGGAAACCGTTTTTTGCGCGTCGAATGTTTTCCGCGTTATCACACGCGGCTGTTGCGCGATTTGCGATATTTCTGTACAGCATCAAACTAATTTTCGATATAAATATTTATTATAACTATAGTGAATGAAATAATAAAGTTCTCTCTGACGTTTGGAAGACAGCCAGATATCTGTTCGCAACCTTGTACTCTTTGCGCCTGATTTTCGAACCCATTTAAGTTTCGCCATAGTTTTATAAAATATTCAAAATCGAAAATAAAAATATACGAACTAACAAGTGTAAGAAGAATGCATGTGTTTATGTATTAAGATGATGCATACGTCAATCAAGATAGTTGAAAATTAAATAAATATTAGTTGATAGTTCGCAAATTTAAATATGATGTTGTTTACGCGCATGTGATATGATGTTATAGTAATCTTCAAAGAACCAGAACGATCAGGAAGCTAAATTTTTGTTCTGTTTATTTCCTTACATCATTTGCTTATTTTGCATCACACAATTAACATTATCTAGCTATAATAAACATCTTCGAAATGTGATGATTATATAATAATTTTTATACAATTTTCTGGATGAGACTATTAATATATTATAGATTACTAAATTAATACTTACAGCATTACTAGTATTGATGTCTATATTTGATTTGAGATGCTCTAAGACCTTTTCTAAGTTGCCGGCCCGAGCAGCCCTAAGGAACGATGTGTTCCCATCAGACTGAAAATAATAAAAAAAAAAAATTAATATATTGAATACATAATACAATACAATAATTTACAATATATTTCATCTAATTTTGTTTTGAAAATGTTTGAATATTATTTATTTTTTGTTGCGACTTAGAAACTAATTTGTTGTAATTGGGTCACATACATTTCAAAAATAGTTATACTAATTTTTAACTTCCCGTAAGGTAACTTATAGTAATGGGCCGAAAATCAAAAATGAAAATTTTTGTATCTTCACGTTTCAGAGTTTTCTGAACATTTTGGCATACCTGAGAAAAAATAGATGTGTGTGTGTGTTTTGTGCAAATAACTTTCTACGTGTGTTGACGTAACAATTGCTTTTGGAAAATTCTTCAAAGTTAAAATTCTCATTTCATTTTTTTATTCAAAAATGTTTTTTTCTATGTATATCGAAAATAATTCAGATTTCAATTTTAATTGTGGTTAAAGTTCTAAAGCTCTCTTACATACTTTAATTGAATAATTTTAACTTTGTAATTCAGTTTATATAATTCTTATAAATATTAGACAATATTACGGTATTTATAACAATCTATTTAAAAACATTTAATATTCTTCAAACCTTTCGTTACGGTACGGGAAGTTTCAGCAGTTTGCATTAGGGCTGGATGCCATACACCACTAGTTACAAATAGTTTAAATGTAACAAAAGTGACGAAAAAAGTATGACAAGTGAATGTACTTCATATAAATATTTTTTACAATCGGACACCTATGAAGAATATAATTTGCATTGCAATATAACATAGACATTTAAAATCGTAGAATATTTTATATTTTTTAATTCTGAATACATTTTATCATTATCTCATTGATATAAATCGAATAGATTAATACGTGTCCAGATTATTTATTTTATCATTTTTAATTGCGATTTTATACTATATTGAGTTATATTATGGTTTAATAATAATAGAAAAAATTATATATTACTTGCTTTTGAAAAAAAAAAATTTTGGTTTTAATTCCATGAACAATTATAAAACAAAATGTATACAAAAGTATATATTCAAATAAATAAATAAAAATTATTTTTAATAATTTATGAAGATTATATAAAGTACAATTGAAATGATAATTAATATTCAACATGACTAATATTTGCTTCTTCGTGCATTTAACAATAATACAGCACATACTGTTACATTTTCTTGTTATGTTGCAACATTATGTTAGAATAATTTAAAACAAGAATGAAAAATTTCGGATTAATTTGAGAAATCTCCTTTAAATTTAGTAACAATTTTCTTTGTATGTGTATCAGTATCGGCGATGAGCACAATTCTATTATTTAACCGTGTATTATCTGTCTTTAATCTGCATAAAATATGCAAATCAACTAAGATTATGTATTTAAATTTCGCGCATAAAATTATCCAAGCCGGTTCATTTATGACTTATGATATCACTGCATGTTATAAAGCTAAAACTTGTAACATAGTATTTTTGTCGCGATTATTTTGATACTTACAAATATAAGTAAACGCTGAAGATTGATTTTGCTAAATCGAATATTTATATATAGTGAATTTTCTAGTACAATCTTAATCAGATGATGTTTTTTTATAATCTATTTTGTTTATATTTTAGAATCTCTTATAATATCAATCCGAACGATTGTGGTTACTATGAAGTGCTTTTTTAAATCTTGATTTTATTTTATACAACATTAACAGATGATTTAGCACCACTTGGCATTTACTGTTTATTATCAACATAATTTCCAAGAACCTTTCATTAAGAATTAACAACGAAAATTAATGATTAAAGAAATATATGATTTTCTACTAATGTTTATGCAGATCTCTTATTTTTGTATTATGCAAATTTGTATTGAATATATGCACTTTCAGTATGAAAATTATTCTAATATTATAATTGTATAGTAAAATGTAAAAGAGGTATATCCATATGACCAACTCAATCCTTTTTAGCATAGGCTTTGAGTACTTTACCAAAATACAAAAAAAGGTTTAATATATGAATCTGAATAATTCTTAAATTTTGCATCAACAAAATTGTAGTCGTCAAAGAGGATGAGTCGCTAAAAATTTAACGAATTTATCTAAATTTCAACAAAAACTCACAGAAAACCTGAAATTATTTCTGAACATTTTACTTTTATTTTTTGTTCAGAACACTACAAAAATTAATAACAAATACAAACAAAAAATAAAAATGTGTGTGTTTGTATGTAAGTTTTTAAAATTAGTTTACAAATGCTGAACGATGACACATATCAAAGGTCGAAACGTAAAAAAAATAATTTTATTAATAAAAAATGTTTAATACAATCATGTTTCAACTTCGAGAAAGCTATATATCATCTATATTGGATTTACGATTCTTGTATTTATAGATACCTACATAAAACAAAAATCAAATTGTTTTTTATTAATTTTATTTTTACATTATCTATACAGGGTGTCCCAGAACTTAACGTCAAGCCCAAATGCTCACAATTTTACCGAAGCTCTAGGTTGCATTTAGAAAGCTCATAATTTCCAAACAACGTGTTTTTTTTTTCATTTTTCAGGACAGTTACGGTGATTACTATCAACCCCTTTCCGCTTGACGTTGAGTTCTGAGACATCTTGTTTATTTGTAACACACTAAAGTAATAATTATCACAATTTTGATTAAATTTTCTTTACCCCTAAATTTTAATTCATAAATTTATATTACAATATCATCCTTTATATTTGCTATGAAAATGTATAGAAATCGTTTTGTTTATCGAATACATACATAATTAAACACGAATAATTTAATATGAACTCAACGAGAATAGCTCATGAGTCACATTGATACATTATAGCGTTGTAATTTATTATTAGACGGCCATTTTTTACATATACAAATTATAAATATAGAAGATATATCTATGCATTCACAAAAGGCTGAACGAGTTAGTGACGTCAAGAAGAAGAAAAGATAAGACGCGTGTTTTCGTTCCGTTTGATCTTGAAGAACTGAGAAATAAAATTAAAAAAAAGTAATTGTAATCTAGTAACCTTTTCAAATGACCGCAATGAATTGCGTTACGCGCTGTAGGATGAAAAAGTCTAATTTATTTACACACTAGCGCGCATTCAGACATACTTCCTTGTTTCGGCCTCTATGCGAGGGGAATCGGTACCGATTCTGAGACTTTTTTGTTTTCTTCATTTTTTTTGAGTTGATGTGCCGCTGAAAGGAGATTTTGATTAACATTCTCTATCTTCATACGCGTGGCGCTTAGATGTTGTTTATTTGCGGTACAATGGGCAGGGTTTGGAAACATTTTCTAAAGCCGGCCACAGACGTTACTGTATACATGTGCAACTGTAGGAATGCGCAACCAGGCGTATTTTCACAGTGCCCACAGACGACCCAAGTGTATGTTCAAGTGTTTGCACAAGCATATGAAATATGTAAACACAGAAGTCATTTCGACTTTCAGTAATTATACTGTCTAAACTAATAAAAACAACAATCAAACTTTGCTCAATAAAATTCCCAGTTAACTTCTAATTCTAGAAATATGTTTTTTTTACTATTTTGATATTATTACTATTGTGATTTATTTATTTTATAACTGCATTATTTTGTTATTGCAGAAATAAATTTTGAGTAATTTTAATCACTGGTTTATCCCGAGATTAAGGAAATTTAATAATACAGAGTCAAGTACAACTACTAACTTTCCTCACATTCAGACTTTAAGAACTTCCTTTTGTTGAACTTTAACGATCTCTCAAGACTCGTTAGTCATCGAAAACTTTCAATATCCTTAAAGTCTATTAGTGTTTCGTCAGTAACAATGGCAGAACTTTACAGGATTTAAAAACTTCGAGGTTTTTCAAGCTTTAATTGAGACATTATTACATTTTATTTAGTTTAAGTACTATTTACTTTGTGTTTTTGCATCGTTTAGAAGAAAACGTTCTCTTTATTCGATAATGCTACATATCTACTACTTCTACTCAATTTTGTGATATTTTACGAATACGAGTTGAGGGAAAAATCAACTTCATCAAGATTAATTACAGATTCTTTGCAGAAAGTATTTTGTATGGGAAAAATAATCTTTGAAAATATGGATATATTATACCCTTTTTAGCACTATTTATAAAATGATAGAGTAACAAACGTTTCTAGACTATCAGTTATACCATCAGGGTCAATATAAATAAATCATTGAAATTATATTTAATCATGAATTCTTTTTTTTGGTATCACACTAATCAAATAATACATGTTTGAGGATTTTATAACCACATATAAATATAATGATTAAATAATATGTATGTCACAATGATAATGAGATAAATCACATTTACGATAGGAAACTAAAAACATCATTTAATGAAAGAGTATATATACAGTGATACCTCGCTCAACGTTATTCGTTCCGGGAGAAACTTGGTTATGCGAAACGCGTTTTTCCATACAAATATATGAAAATGAAATTAACCCTTTCCACTCGCGAATTGCAAGATTTATATGTATTTTGCCGCCGAAGTCGCAGCATCCGAATGGAAATGGTTAATTCGTTGTGAAGTTTGAAATATGGTCATAGAAAATGAAATATATTTTACATATTGAAGCATTTCAAAAAATATTACTATTTTACGAAAGAAGGTACTATCATCCTTTGTTGCCCTTTTGCCCTAACCCTTTTAGCTCCTGTTTCTTCTCGTTATTTCTTCAAGACCTACTGCAAATGATAGGCATGTTTACCATTGTTCAAATTTCTGATCTTCTTAGCTTGTGAAAAGTAAACATTTACGAATTCTTGCACTTCTTTCCATGTGATCAAAAAGTTCTTCGTGGACTTTATGCACTAGAAATCTCCTGACTATTCTTCTCTTCGTCAGTTCGTGATCATATCAACTTCCAAAATTTTCTTAAGACCTTTGGGGTGTGAATGTGAATTACCCAACAAGTGTATTTTCACAGCGGGGGCAAAAATTTCCACGGACCACT